AGGGAGTGCGGCGGGCAGGCGGGCTGGCCCTTTAACGGGGCAGTAAACACCAGAATCACTTTCTTTAAGAGTAACTTCCTGTAAACCGAGAAGGGGGAAATACATGTGGCCTCATCAAAGAGGCTTGTGAGAGATTTTGCGGTGTGTTTGTTATGAGAAAAATGGAACAGAGCTGGGTGAATTCTGCTATCAAGAGGAGATTTTTTTTTCTTTCTTTCTTTTTTCTTTTCTTTTTTTTTTCTCTTCTTTCTTCACCGTTGTTTACTCGGCAGCACAAACTTCCAGGAACACAGGGCTCCAGCGGCACGGCGCCGGGCGGAAGCTGCTTTCTAAAGCTGCCCTCGACGGACGGCTTCCAGGCACCCATCCGGAGATGGTGCCATTTACTGTACTTCTCTTTTCAGAAAAAAAGGAAAGCGCGTGGGGGCTCTGCGGCCGCGCACGAAGGCACGCACGCCCCCGCGGGCCTCCGTCCTGCCATCTCGCTGCCTTTCCGCGGCTGATGGAGGAGATTAAAACGAAGGTGCTGAGTCACGGCGCCCTTACGAGAAGTGACGCCGCTGCCGTCGCGGGAAGCGTCCCCTCCCCATGCAGCGCCGGGGCCGCTCGGCCCTCAGGAACACGTGGGAAGTTGTCTCCCACCGTTTCCCCGGCACGCGTGGGACCCTCGCTGCGGCGGCAGGCCTTGAATGCACCAAGGGATTGCAGCCGTGGGTTCAACAACACTTCGATGGCTCCTACAACATTATTTTGGAGGATCTCTCCATGCTAAGGCTTAAAGTCACATCATGGGAATGATGTCATCTCTCTCGCTGCGATATATGAATAAAAAAGTCCTGCAAGATGGTTAACAGCCCTAACATCTGCTGAATTGTTAACAGCGGGTAGAGTGAGGCCAGCGCAGCCTATGCTGGGCACGAGCTCCTGAAAACTTAAGAAAAAAGTGCTGTGTGAGCCCGCATGGAAACGGCCTGAGGAGCCCAAAATGACAACCTGAATGGGAAGAAAGGAGTGGGGGGATGTTGGGTCCTGCCCTGGCTTCCATCTGGGTACGAGTTTGGGATTTTGCTAAGGCAGGCGCCTTGGCATAGGAGCTTGGATATACTCCCAAATCCACTGACTTAAACCCAACCTAGCTGACTACATGGCAGCGAAACATATCCGGGGAAGGCAAAGAGGCTGAAGGAATATCCCCTAACAACGAGCCTGTAAAGGAATCTGAGCATTATGTTAATGGGTAAACTGGAAGCATATTCCCTGGCACAGAATTGCCAAGCCAAAACAACTTGCCTGATGCTCCCTTCCAACCTATGCTACAGAGTACAAGTTAAGCATCACTTCTAATGCTTCTACCTGCCATCAATGGATTTTTCTCTACAGTAAGATCCATGGGCTGCTATTTTAACATTTTCTGAAGTGGTCTAGAAACACTCAGAAATGGAAAGATATATATTGAAGATTAAAACACCACTGTATCATAGCAGTTCTAAGCAAAATCTAATGAAAAAGAAATTACAGAACATATCACAATTTCAGAATTAAAAACATATGCAGTACTTTCCATAAGTTCTTCATAGTTGGAAAAATCAAGGGTACGTGACATTTGCATAAACAAGAATGAGCTTTTGCTGTGAAGAAATGCAAAACAACCTGCCCCTACAGTGAGTGGCAGATGTGTTTCTTTATAAGATTAAGCATCAGTTTGTCTCAGAAAACAGAGCTAGGAAGAGCTGTGCATCTCCCCACTCATACACTCCCAATATTCAAGAGAGCCAGCCTTCTACTCAGCCCCGTTCACTACATTTGCTCTATTCATACATGGCAGAGGAAAGAAGTTGCCCCCTGCGTTCACACAGGTCTGAAGCAGGAAGTGACCCAGCTTTTCAGCTGTACTCATTTAGCAATCTGCTTACTGCAACAACATGGTGCTGTTTTTTCCTGCTTACCCGCCAAAAGTATTTTCTGTTCGCATTCTTGGGAACCGTATCGCTGGTATAGATCTCTCCTACCAGGGGTCCAAAGCGTGTTCCTTTTGGGATATACTCTTTGCTTATCACTCCAGTGACCTACAAGAAGAACAGCACAGGATCAGTCTCCATCTCCAGAGGAAATTGAAAATTTCTCCTGCTTCTCCCCATCCTCAG